TAGCAAATTAACTAGTTAGTGATCTAACTTTACATCGGTGTTCTTCGTCATTGGTCAGAATTAGAATAGTAATTCATATTTCAGTTGTCGAGGTATTGGTTGCGGGCTCGTGGTTCACAACCACATAAACCGCTTATCTGCTTAATAGTTTCATGTTTAGTGTCATGAACAATTGGATAAGAGTAGAAGTTGCTAGATTCTTCCATGTCAAATTCAAGAGCATAAGTATCTAACTTTGCGATAAAGGCTCGGACTACTGCAGCATTTTCCGGTAAGAATTGGAAGTGGAGCACGGGTTTGGTGGCGAAGTGGGTGTAAATGGTGCTGCTACACTGTTGGTTCTCTTTGGGGACTTTATCCTGTTCCAAGGGTAGGTGAACAAATTCCGCGGATTTACAGAGCAAGAGTAAGCGGGTGATGAGGAATTCTTGGAAGTCTTGCTTGAGTTGCTGTTTCGGTTTTTTAAAAAGATAGAGTTCTTTTTTATGGTGTTTAGTGGCTAAAGATAGTAGGGATAAAGGGTTTAAAGAACGAGTGCCTAAGCGATAGTTTTTTTTGATGAGAACGGGCTTGGCACATTGGCCGACTAAGCGTTCATTAGTTTTGTAGAAGTAAGTGGTGCTTTGGTTTTCATAATCGTAATGGCGAAAGATAGTTTGTTGATTATTTAAATGGTGACCAGTTAGTTGGTCAAATTTGCTTTTACCATTGAGCCAAGCCGTTCTTTTTTCATATTCATACAAATTTAAAAAGAAGCGGTAAGTTTTGTGATTTTCTTTCAGTCCATGGGCTTGGTAAAGGCTTCTTAAATGAAAAGATTTACTTAAATACTTGGCTAAATAATGGCTGATAGTTTTATAACCCGGGCTTCTTGATTCAACCCGACCTCAGGGTCATAATTGGCTGATGTAAGCCCGGCAATTTCAGCAAGAAGTAAAGTTTTTATCTAAGGTGCATTTATGGGAATAGGGGACAATGGGAGTAGATAAAAAGTGGTAGTGCCAGACCCCATTTTTTTGTAATTCCGAGACGACAACTCATTTTCATCTGCTGGGTTTTCAAAGTCGTCTTACTCGGCGTAAAAAAAGAGTTAAATAATAGTTAGCGGCAGTGTGCTGCTGCACATCGTCTTGGACTTTTTCAATTTTTACTTTCAGTGGTTCCGCCGGAGCATCAAAGTTTTGGGCTCAGTCTTTTAACCAGTTATTTTTCTGTTTAATCGGTGTTCAGCAGTCATCTTTCGGGTTTCAGTTGGTAGTGAAGGCCTGGTAGTTGTCATGGGTAGTGTTAAAAGTGAGGGTTAAGAATAATAAAGGTTGCTCAGCGGCCGTCCCTTCAAAATTAGCTTCCACTTTATCTAAAAAACGAGTATATAACTTTTTTTCTTTACTAGAGAAGAGAGAAAAATATTGACAGTTTTGCGCGTCTGTTAAGCAATCATCTTTGGGTTGAGATAAATTGGAAATAGGCTGTTGCTGAGCTATTTTAGGTTTATCTAAGTAAAAAGATTGAGCGCTGTTTTTAGAAAGAGTGACAGAGATGCGGTTAGTGGATTCAATGTGCTTGGTGGAGACTGAAAGGACTGTAAAGGAAGTGTGGTCTTGAGTGAGAAAATGTTTGAGATCTGATTTAGAAACCCGCTTTATTTCTGCTAGGTCATTCAATAGTTTTTGTGATGTTTTTGGATAGGGGGAGTTATTGCCATTAAGCAACAAACTTTCCTAATTTCTCTGTTTTTGTCTATATGCCAATAAAGTATATGACAAAAACTAAAATAACTCAAAACAGTAAAGAAAATATAAACTTAAATACAACTTTAAAAGATGATTCAGTAAAAATCACTGGAACTCTTACCTCGCAAATCCAACTCCGGGGCGAAGGAACCAAAGAACCTTATTACTATACCTTTGTCAAACTCAAAGGTCAAAATGTTGATTTACCCGTAATATTCAAATTAACCGATAAAATGGGATTTTCAACTAAGCCTTATCTGGAAAAAGGCATGGAATTAGAACTATTTGGACACTATTCTAATTCTGATAAATCGATTAGAAAATCCTTTACGGCCACCAATTACCGACTCTGCAATGAGAAAAAAGTTCGTAAAAAATGTTTCGGTTGTCTAGACCCTTTCACCTGTTCCCAGTCCGAAAATTACGACTATTGCTCGGAGTGCGAGATAAATGATAGCCGTTATATTCCTCGCGAAAGCCAATGCCCCGAATGTGGTGATGGCTCCGGAATAATCAAATTCCCCAACCAAGCACCCAGGAATTGTAAAACTTGCTACTTAGCCAACCAAGTAAAAAAGGAGGAGAATATTTTTGCTAAATAAGATGCTTAAACTCTCTGAATTTACGGGGCGAATAGTTGGCAAAGAAGCCCTCAAAGTCTACAAAAAGAATGAATTTTACGGAAATACTAACTACAAACTAACAGTAATTAAAGAGCAAGACCAACAAAAGTTAACCATTTTTGTTTACTCTAATTTAGTATCTAAAAAGTTATTCCAAACCCTAGAAAAAAGCCACTATATCGACAAAATATACCACTTTTTTTGTCAAAGAAAAAAACAGAATCTAATTTTAACTGATTGGCAAGAAATAACTAACCATGAAGAAACTTAACACCACCGAAAAGAAATTGAAATTCCATTGTTCCGTCTGTTCGGCTACTTGGCAATTATTAGTAATTCGCACTGACTTGCTAAATAATCCCGATACCAAGTGTTTAAATAACTGTGCCAACAAATGAGAAACTTTACTAATTTCTTACTGTCGGGAACGACAAATAATTCACTTTGCTAATCAGGAGCAAGAGAAAGAACAAAAGAACCAAGATTTAACTGACTGATTTGAACAAATTAGAAAACAAAATGACAAGAAGTAAACTATCAAACATCAGCAATCAATAATTATTAGAAGAAAAGAAATAACTAACTATGAGCAAAAAATCATTACGCAAGAAAATCGAAAGAAAATTAGCCCAATTAAACAAACTTTTAGACAAAATTGACGAAGCAAGAGCCATTAATTCTGATGACCCCGAAACCTGAGACGCTGACACTCTTTATAGTCTGGTGGAAAACCTGAAAGAAACTCTCCAATTATTAGAAGACCAAAAAAGTAAGCAATTGGATGATTGAGGAGAACCACTTATTTTAGAAACTGGTATTTGTTCTTTGGTAGATGAATACCAATCAGAAGAGGAAGAAGCCAGTGAAGATTTTTAACACTATGACAACAATAATAATCACTCTATTTGGCGGAATAATCCTTGGTCTTCTCTTATCTTTACTGAGCCTCTGACTAATCAAAGTTAACTGTCCCAAGTGTAAGCAACTGAAACCTTTACGACAAATAATCCTTTTTCACTGAAAACAAAGAGCAATTACCGGACAACCCTGTCTTAAATGCCAAAGACCGAAACCGCAAATTGAAATATCCTTATAAAAAAATATGAATTTACAAGCATACACTAACTATCTACAAGCGAGAAACCTAGCTCCTGACACCATTCGGAGTTATCTATGAGGCCTAACTAAATACGGAACACAAGAAATTAACACCTCCCAAATCAGTAATTTTCTCAAAAGAAGTTTAACCAAATACCAAACTTGAACTATCCGCAACCAACGAAATGCTTTACACTCTTATGCCAAGTTTAAGAAAATCATGGTGGATTGAGAAATAATTGCCCGAGTAATTCCCAAGATTCAGAATAAGTTTTATGCGACTATTAGTGTCGAAGAATTAGAACAGTTAAAGGCTATTTCTTGAAGAGCTAATCAAAGTGCCAAAGATAGTCAAAGAATTAGTGAAAGGAATAACCTGATGTTAGATTTTCTTTTTTATACTGGTCTGCGAGTAAAGGAATTGGTGAATATTAGACATCAAGATTACCAAAATAACCAACTAAGAGTATTAGGAAAAGGCAATAAAGTCCGTTATGTCTTTTTGCCTCCTTTTTTAGTGAAATATTTTAATTCTTGCTCTACTAATTACCTCTTCCTAACTAGAAACAACAATAAACTCAAAGATACCCAAGTCCGAACCATTATTAATCGGAAAACAGAGCGGGCGGGAATAAAGAAAAGAATTACTCCCCATACTTTTCGGAGAAGTTTTGCCACTTTACTGAATAATAATGGGGCAAAATTAACTACTATTCAGAAATTATTAGGCCATTCTCATATTACTACCACAGCCCAATACATCCACAATGATTATGAAACTTTATTTGCTGATTATAGTAAGTTATGAAAAACACCCCAAGCCACTCCAATTTTAAATGCTTATGAAATACCAACTACTAATTAACAAAATCCAAAAACTAAAAATGGGAAAATGCTGTTCTAATCCTTATTTTTTGTGCTATCCCAGTTTTAGCCCCGCAGAATTAGCCCTAATCGAAGAATCCTTAGAAACCATCCAGTTTTTAGAAATAATTTTTAAAGTGAAAAAAGAAAAGTCAAAAAATCATGAAAAACAAAGTTTTGTCAGAGACCAAATTTAAATACGACTACTTAACTAACCGCCTCTGGCGGATAAAAGACGATGACCCACAAAGGTTATATGAAATCACCGAAGACCATCAATTCCCAGCTAACTTTGGCGGTCAGGGTTTTATCGTGGGGGAAAACTCCTGAATAACCTTTACTGTTTATGAGAAAAAAATTAAGGCTTTTGCCAAGTTTTCTCAAAATGGAGAAGTTATTTATTATCGCAAAGAGTTTGTCCCCATTCCGCTTAATCAATTACCTTTGTGTGTGCCGAACTTTGCCCGCGAGATTATTTTTGAATTCACAGAAGCGGACATCGTTAGCAAGAATGAAAAAGGCCACTGAGTGCCAAAAAGAGAAGGTGGATAAAGTTTTCGCCGAATTATCTCCTGTTTAGGGCTAGCCAGAATTTCCATTAGTCGGAAAAAGAGTTATTCGTCAGTCTGGCTAGTCCTAACGAGGGAATAATTTTTTATTCTCTCATGTTCTTTAAGGCAGAACAAAAAAAACCAAACAAAACTGCTTCCATCAGTGATAAGTTTGGGCTAAGTAATTAGCAAGGAAGACCTCTCCCATGGAA